CTGGCTGAGGATGGATGGGTAGATGGCTGGCTGAAGGAATGGATGGGTAGATGGCTGGCTGAAGGAATGGATGGATAGATGGCTGAAGGAATGGATGGACAGATGGCAGAAGGAATGGATGGGTAGATGGCTGGCTGAAGGAATGGATGGACAGATGGCAGAAGGAATGGATGGGTAGATGGCTGGCTGAACGGGTGGGTAGATGGCTGGCTGAATGGGTGGGTAGATGGCTGGCTGCATGGGTGGGTAGATGGCTGGCTGAATGGGTGGGTAGATGGCTGGCTGCATGGGTGGGTAGATGGCTGGCTGAATGGGTGGGTAGATGGCTGGCTGCATGGGTGGGTAGATGGCTGGCTGAATGGGTGGGTAGATGGCTGGCTGAATGGGTGGGTAGATGGCTGGCTGAATGGGTGGGTAGATGGCTGGCTGCATGGGTGGGTAGATGGCTGGCTGAATGGGTGGGTAGATGGCTGGCTGAATGGGTGGGTAGATGGCTGGCTGCATGGGTGGGTAGATGGCTGGCTGAATGGGTGGGTAGATGGCTGGCTGAATGGGTGGGTGGGAATTCTAATTGAGTTGTTTCTTAGAATGTTAAATAGACCCACTATTTTACTAGATTGATCCATTCTATTGTAACCATCATTAGAAAAATGGATCATCTCCAAAAACAATCATTGCAATGATGGCCCTTACTCCAATCTCCCATTATTCTTACACCCTTGCTCTCTTTGTTCCTAGCTCTCATCCTAGCCCTCTGTTCCTTCCAGTTTTAATCCTCGTTCTGATCTCCTCCATTACTGTTACAAGTCAATTAACAGAGCAATTAAAAAAATTTAGGTATATTCATTTTTTCTAATTGAGAACAAATTTTAGAGAATTGTTGACATCGTGATATGAATTAAAATTACTCCAATGTCTAGCTTATAGTGTGATATGTAAATTTGTAAGATTGATTGTGAGTGTAAGAGAGATTTTCAGTTGAAAAGAGAATTATGACATTAGTTATATATGAATCACATAAGATGAGCCATGAATTGTAGAAAGAAAAAGAATCTATTCTTATTATTGTCAAAGAAGTACTACACATGCAATAAGAAATATAAGGTCACTTGAAATCAGAAATCTTTGAATTATTGACAACCTACATGGTAATTCTAAGCAAGTGTGGCACAACATTGCAAGTTGTTTTAATAGCAACAATCTTCGCAATGAAAGAAAATAAAATCATAATTAAAATATTAAATACTTATCATGAATAGATATGTTCATTATTAACAATGATCATAATTGAGACTATAGCTTGATGAATTCTATATTAAATATTTAGTAATATTCTAAAAAGATGAGAAGTCATAATAGAAAATAATGACAAATCTTAAGATAGAATTGAAATTTATATTTATTATATATTTTAATATGATTTTGCTCATGGTCCTTAAAAAAAAAAGACTTGAGTTAGAGTGTGAGCAAGAACTTATTGCCAAGAATATTTACAATATATATGTATTACATGCATATATATTTATCTAAATATTTATTTATATGATTAAGAAGAAGTAGGTAAAAGTAGATTTATTTCATAATATTTTCCAAAAAAGCTTCTTAAAAGCTTCATAGATATTGCTTTGACTTTACATGTGTTTGTAGTTTATTGATAGATTAGAAATTTGGTCAACAAATTAATCATATGTTGGTAGCTTGTTGTCAAGGACAAGAACTCGATGAAAAAAATAATTTAGACAAGTGAGCCTTCACTCAAAGAGAAGTAACAAAATATATATAAATAAGTATATATATTGAAAGAGGAACTGGAATGGCTATTGCCAAAAGACAAGAAAACTAGAGACCCTTGAAACTAGACTAGAAGCAAGAAAGGAGTTGACAAGAGTGAAGAAGCCTTCACTCTTGTCTCTATATATACTATCTAACTAAGAGCTACGTGGCGACATTCTATAGGACCTCCAATATGTGTTGACTTTGTAGGGCATATGCCTTGACTTACAAGGCAAGTTTTTCTACCTGTGGGCCACATAGTTAGCTTGATCTTTAAGCTAACAACATGTGTGGCACATGGCCAACTTGTTGACCATGTTTCTAATCCAAACAGTCAATTAAAGACACCTATGAAGTCAAAGCAGCGTCTAAGAAGTTTCTAGGAAGCTTCCATATTAAATATTATAGAATTAACTTACTTTTACCTACTTTTACTTACTTCTACTTATTTCTATATGTAATTATTAGCTTACATGATTATGGCCGTGACATTACCCCCCCTTCTAGGGACGAGTTCTACGAGGAGCGGTCATCATATGTTGAGGAAATCTATGATGCGACGAATTGTATTCGCCACATACTCTGATCTCTGTTCTCTTCGAAGATGATTGATAGGACCTCTCAACCATCGATAGTGTCCCATACTAGGGCGGGAAGACCACCCAGTTATTTGATCATTGTTGAGGCCTTCGTAACTTCCTTCGAATAGAATATTTGAAACACCATCAGGAGTTGTTCCTACCTCTAGCAAAATCACCAAACATCGGGAGTCCCTTCCCAAATCGTGATACCAAACGCGTTGTATCTCACCATCTATTCGAGGAAGAACATGTCGTTCTTGAAGATCTTCATCTCGATTGCGTCGTCTTGAAGGTTGTGACAATCGTAATGTCTCGCCTGGTAGGTCAGCAAATGAAGGCTCTTGAGTAGAATCCGCTGGTTGTTGGTTCTCCATCTCCTGAGCGCCACTACTACAATGAAGCTACGAATAAGAATTAAAAATAGAATGTTATCTTGCCTAGATGTTGTTTCTTTTATAAAGAAGGTTTTCATCTTGATTTTGATGGATGTCGTCGATAAAAAGCTTCCACCGCCTTTGCTGCATTTGTAAGATTCTTTAATGGCTCCCATGTGCGTTCACTAATACTATATCCGCGCCAATGGACAAGATATTCTAATTTATTTCGGCACCGCCGTGAATCTAAGATGTCGGTCTAGGTCAAACGCGTCATTATTGTCCACTTCTATAGGATGAGCTGGAGCTTGTCGTCTTCTTGGTATGTCCACTGTCTTGTATGGTTCGAGAAGAGACACCTGGAATACTGGATGGATTGTCATTGACTCTGGTAGATCTAAACGATATGCAACTGGATTGATTTGTGGATGGATAGATGGCTGAAGGAATAGATGGATAGATGGCTGGCTGAAGGAATGGATGGATAGATGGCTGAAGGAATGGATGGATAGATGGCTAGCTGAAGGAATGGATGGATTGATGGCTGGCTGAAGGAATGGATGGATAGATGGCTCGCTGAAGGAATGGATGGATAGATGGCTAGCTGAAGGAATGGATGGATAGATGGCTGGCTGAAGGAATGGATGGATAGATGGCTGAAGGAATGGATGGATAGATGGCTCGCTGAAGGAATGGATGGGTAGATGGCTGGCTGAAGGAATGGATGGATAGATGGCTGGCTGAAGGAATGGATGGGTAGATGGCTGGCTGAAGGAATGGATGGGTAGATGGCTGGCTGAAGGAATGGATGGGTAGATGGCTGGCTGAAAGAATGGATGGGTAGATGGCTGGCTGAAGGAATGGATGGGTAGATGGCTGGCTGAAGGAATAGATGGGTAGATGGCTGGCTGAAGGAATGGATGGGTAGATGGCTGGCTGAAGGAATGGATGGATAGATGGCTGAAGGAATGGATGGACAGATGGCAGAAGGAATGGATGGGTAGATGGCTGGCTGAACGGGTGGATAGATGGCTGGCTGCATGGGTGGGTAGATGGCTGGCTGAATGGATGGGTAGATGGCTTATCATTTGTGACAAGTTGGACCCAGCCTTCAATAGTCCAACTTGTCACAAGGACGAGTGTCTTGAATTGCGACAAAGTAGCCATACCTATCACC